CATCATCCAACTGACTTAAGAGTCCTACTGCCCAAATCTAAAGCCAGGAGATCAGGATCAGCAAAAATATTTAGGTGTCTGACTCTCAATGCTTTTAGTGGGACCAGGATTTCAGACTGCTTGCTTTGGCCATGAAGCAGACGGTAAGAAATGCTCACTGCCTTGCTAAACTGAATATTCTAGATTTCAAGCATGTGACGCTCTCCTGAATCTTTCCTGGTAAATAAGCTATCGATTCCTTCCCTATCGAGATTAATTAAGTTTCTTTCACATTACCTGAAAAGAAGTGATCATTCTTAAATGTGGAAAGAAAGGGCTATCAACCTTGTTGTCAGTGGTCAGTGTGCCAGCCTTCAGCCAAAAAAGCAATTAGGAAAGCACTCCTTTCTCCATGTTACATAGGACATTTGGAATCAATTAAATATTGAAATTAATTTCTCTGATCTGAGTCCAGTTACGACAGGTGTGAGGCTGCTAGTGGTAGCTAAAGCGGTAAGTAAAAAGTCTAGAGGGAGGTCGTCATTTTCTGTTATGAGAAATAGCAGCACCATTCTGGGACAGATCAAAAATAATAATTCAACTGTGGAGGCCTCCTGGATCGTTTTGCAAGTCAATTACCCTCTAGGTGATTAGTTTGGAAAAAGTTATGTGAAAAAGGGAACAGACCTCCCATTTTTAAATTATTTGTATGACTCTTGCAAGTTGTTTATTTTCTTTATAGCCTTAGGTGGAACGAAATTAAGTGTGCTTGAAGTGGGAATTATCCACATTTTTCAGCAAAAACATAATCACACGGCACATTCACAGGACTCAGGCTTTGAAGCCTGTGAAGCATTCACTTAGTAGGAAGCTTAGGTAAACCAGGCAACCGCTGAAGAAAGAGAGGAGAGTTTAAATATTTCTGGTTTTATTGCATCATGGAAAAACTGATCATTTATCTCATTAAAATGGAGAATTTTTACTGGAGAACCCCTGCTGGGTTTATAAGCTTGCCTGCTGCGTTGACTGTAGTAACTGAAAGAGCAGCGTTGTCCCTTTGCCTGGGGATAGATGTTGGCCTTTGTGGCAAGGTAAGAAAGGTAAATTGGTGACAGATCCAGAGTATTTTTTCTGAAAAATGTACATAAATCTCCCTTGACTTAAACAGTTGTGGTATGTAAAATAAATACATGCAACTGCAATTTAGTTCACTTGCAGAAACCTCAGCTATAATAGCTATGTGTGTGCAGGGAGGACTGGCTTATAGCTAGGGCCTGGGACTGAGAATCAAAAGAAAGAAAGAAATTAACAAAAAAGGAAATTATTTCTTTCTTAAACTCTTGGTCTATCCATGAAGGAAGTTGGTTACAGGGGCACTTCCAAAAGCATGATAGCCAAAGACGAATAAATTATGCTGAAGCAGTTAAAATATGTTCTCCTTAAGACACTTGAAGCCTGCTTCTCTCGACCGTTACAGGAAGACGTTTCCTCCCCTCGGCTGCGCCTGTGCGCTCTCCCAGAAAGCAGACAGTGGGTATGGCTACCGGGCTGCGACTTGCAGCAACTAAGCTCAACACTGAGCTCAAGCCCAACAGATCTGCCCCCAAGGCCAGTGTCTCATCACGTACCAAGCCGGCGCGGGCAGCGGGTGATGCTCTCATGCTGACAAACCACTCTCCTCTCTCCTCCATCCCTGGGTAAATCCTCGACAGCTCTTCCTGTCTGTCTTTTAAAATAAGGGATTAAATTGCAACTGCACACGCATCTGCACACACACGTTCTCACACTCTAATTTTAAAATAACCCTTTTAGAGTACAGTTAGCAATGTTGCCATAAAAAAAATTGATCATTGAGAAATGGGGCCACTTGGAAGCATTTCTATTCACTGCTGAGACTGGCCTCAGAGTGGAAAGTTTGCAAATAGTCAAATTTAATCGCTGCTGTGGCCCTCCACATCTCAGCTATGGCAGCGAAGAGGCATTTCTCCTGTGAGAAGCAGAAGGGCAGGGGCCATGTTCTTGGGAGTCGCTGTGCCCTGTACACATCCCAGCCAGTCTCCAAATCCCCAGGGCACAGGTACGGAACGCTGGTCTGACACTGCTGGTGGACCAAAAATCAAACGCTGAAATTCTAACAATTTATGTAAGGTAACTGAAGGAATGTTTTGGCTTTTGAAAGTGTTGCTTTGTAAAATTTATGTTTATCACATACCTCAACAAAATCTTAACCTCAGCTGTGGCTTCTTTGCATATCTGTAATGTACTTGTAGCAACGTGATCAGCCTCTGTACCTGCCCATGAAAGCTGCATTTCCATGGGCTTTACATGCTATCCCTGGTCACTGTCGGCCTCTTTCACCCCTTACTTTTTCCTTTTACAAGTTTAATTCTTCATGGGAAGTAAGTTTAATTTGAGGGTGGCAGTGTTCTTATGGTGGTGATGGTGGACGGAGGCATCTGGAATGCGTCCCTTTTTTGGCTGCACGCTCTCAATATAAATGGTTTATAGAATAGTAACATACAGAGCTTGCCACGTCTTTCTGGAGGCACTGTAACACTGGGGTGAAATGTGAAGGTGCTGATCTCCTCTTGGAGCATCCTCTACCAACTCCAAGAGGAGACATTCAGCAGACAATCCTCAAATCATACACATATATCTGAGCTTACTAAGGTCCTGTACAGTAGAGTAGATACACTTCCTTAGCCAAAATGCTTGCTTCTAACCTAGATTTGGGTCAGCATTACTGCTTGTTGAAATAAGGGCTCTTCTTTGGTTTTACACTTGTATTTTGCTAGATCTGTTAACGTATGAGGTCTCCAGTTCCTAGATGCTACTAGAATAACAAAGGCATCAGTAAAGAAACATTAACAGCAATCTCAAGAGAGTAATCAAAGCTTTCTGGTCCACAGAGGCTAAATTACATTCAGCCTCAGATGTTCAAAAAAGCTTATCTTTTGGTAAGTTCTTAACACTCCATCCTTTCAAATTGTTTTCAGGCAATATTCAGGCACATAATATTCCATTAAGAGTATCATGTGATCACTCTCCTACTCTGGAATGAGGGTTGTAATTTACTTATGATTGCAGGAATGTAATCCCTTTCTGACAATGGCTCTTATTTCTGCAGTGTTTCAGAAGAAAATAAAAACAAGCACCTGGGAGATGTATGAAGCATTACATGTTACACAGCTATACTACATGACTGGTACTTACTATCCGGCATCTCTTATTTCAGTGTAAATCCGCCTTCGCTATTTTGAAGGCTAGTGCACATCCTATGTTGGTCATTCAGTCTGAAAAACTATATATTCCTCTGCTCTTCAGACAGTTTCAGAGCAGTTCTTTACTACAGTTTTTTCAGCTTAGCCATCTTCTCCGTTCTCCACCTTTCCATCCAAGACTTTCTTTGCAAGAGGTATACACGTGTTTCAGCAGTGAAGCAATACGCTAGTGTTCCTTTAGTATTGCTACAGTAGTATTGAAAACACAAACACGAGTTTGGCTCAGCTTCTCTGTATCTCTTTACAGAGAAGTTCATGTTAATGAACTTTTAATTCTTTAGCTAGCTGTTTAATGGTGCTGCGTGCAGCTCTTTACAAGTATTTAGAATGAAAATGTGAAATGCAACACTGAGGATCAAAGCAGAATCTTCCCTAAGCGTGTTACACACCTCCCTCTGACATTAGTTGGAGAGCTTTGTTCAACGCTCAGAGTATGCCTTGACAACACGCCCGTCTCTACACCTTGCCTTACACTGAGCATGCAAAGCTCGACATGTTACAAGATCTTAAAAACCTACTCCGTTTCGTAGCTTGCCTTCTGATTTTCTGGAATGCCACCTTCCGTCCCCACCCAAGTCACTCGCCCCGAGCACAATCTTGCTGGTGAAGGGCAAGGATAGATCAGGTCTCTGCAAAGTTAAAACATGCTGAGAATCTGCGTAAACAACCAGAAGAAGAATCCCAAAAATTTGGTTGGTTGCTACCTGAAGTGCAGAACTGATATGTATTTATAAGTAGGTAATAAGGATCTACTGAATACATCATTATTGATACTCTATCCCTTGAGTAGTATTTATTAAGATAGATCACTCTAAATCATTCTTCCATATTTAGTCTATATATCTTAACTGCTAGAAAATTTTATTAACGTAGAGCAAAACAATTAATCATAAATGTCAACATGAAGCTGTAAGTCATACGAATTAAAGAAGAATAAATCAGTACAGCTTCACGTAATATCCATATATTTATTTGGAGCCCATTTTATTTCTACCAACCCTACATGACAGGCTCCCTAAACCGATGCAGGTGAATCTTCTGCTTTGAAACAGGCTACTGTGTCAAGATTGCTGGTTTCTGATGTTATCTTCCGCAGTGAAAGAATGAATGCTAAGTCTTTTTTTAAAAGATTTTTATTAAAGAATATTCAGTAAGCTGTATTAGACTTATCTAATCTCATTACTGAGTTAAAGTGCCATCAGTCAAGCCACACACACACAGAAAAGCATATTCTCTTCAGTCTAATCTGGGTGAGGTCGTGTGAACTTTGTATGCACACAATTCGTGACATGCAAAGCCCTATCAAGACCACAATGCGTTTGTCAACTACATTTTTAATGAAACCCAAGGTATCTGCATATCAAGAAACAGCAAGTTCAGCACACATGAAAATAAAAATACAGCTTGCACAACCAAGTGTATATATTCATCGAATAGCAGCGACATCACTAAAAAAAGTTGACTTTGTGCTTCACAGCTAAACTGTATACGGCTCAACAGTTTGTTCACTGAACCATGGGGCTAACAAGAAGTCTTTGAACGGCACTCAGAAGCCTAAATGATTACAGTGTAAGATATCAGTAAAACTGTTTATTCCATTTTTCATTGTGATGGCTCAAAAAAGACAACAATCCTATTATTATTATTATCATCCATTTTCAAAACCTTTTTACAGGAGAAGCATTTCACCATCAGCACCCTGCACTGTCCAGCCCAACTACAAGTAGTGGAACATGACAAATATGCACATATATTGCAAAACACAGTTTTGTTTCCTTTTTATTTGTAAAACATGAGTTTCCAAGCAGATTTAACCAGTCACACCCTCAAACTCTATTTTAGACTTTTTTTGAATGCCTATGTCTATTAAATATTGTCCTTTATTTCAAAACAGAATTCCAGCATAAATCACTCCTCTATTTAATACTTATTGAGCAAAGTAATCTGTATTCCCACAGCATTTAAAGTGAGACTTCCACTGTTGCAAATATGTATTGCATAGTTATCTGCATTCTTTTAGCAGATATGCCCTGGCACTTATTTCAATAAACCAACCATCACTTCACTGATATCCCACAACTTTCTTGCAACCAAGTCATCCACGGCTTTGGGCAGAAGTTCCTCCTCTTTGCAGTCCCCAAAATATTTTCCCGACACGCCTTCGACATCAGGAGAAGAGGCCAAATAAATAGAAGTCTGGGCTCCTTCCAGAGGTGTTTTGAAGAAAGCCCATGACACCAAGTTGAACAGGGGTTTTGCCAGCAAAGGAATATTCACGTATCTGCCTAGATTTGTTCTGACAATCCCAGGATGAAGTGAATTGACGGTGACTCCTGTCCCTTCTAACCGACGGGCTAGCTCCCTTGCAAATAGTATGTTAGCCAGTTTACTTCGACTGTAACAAAAACTTTTATTGTAACTTATTTCACTGTTCAAGTCTTCAAAGTTGATCTCTCCATATTTGTAAAGCTTTGAGGATACTACCACAATCCTGCTTGGAGCAGAATTTTTGAGGAGGCCCAGAAGAAGGTTGGTGAGCAAGAAGTGACCCAAGTGGTTTACACCAAATTGCATCTCAAAACCATCCTCTGTCTTCATGTATGGACACTGGAATACCCCTGCATTATTTATCAGAACATCCAGCCTTGGCTCTTCCTTTAAATAGGAAAGAAAAAAATCACTCAGTTTTATAATTGTCATACAAAACATACTATTATGCTTAATATTTCTCATTGGCCATTGTTAGAAAGAAATAATTTCATTCCTAGTTTTCTGAATTGTAATTTCCTGATACTCTCTTAAAACACCGCTGAAAAAAAACCCTAAGCTGAACTACCACTAAACTGAGCACTTGACCCCAGTAGGATGCAGGTACACGAGAGCAGGTCTGTATCTACTTCTAATGCATGCAGAGAATACAATCAACTGCTTCTCCAGGAGCAGCTTTTTCTATAGCAATTCAGTGATAATTTACCTTTGTGATGCGTTTTGTTTTCCTCTAAAAAGTAACCTGTTTATTGCACTGCAAAAGCAGACACAATTTATGGCAAACCTCAGCCATAGGCAAGGGGCCTACTGTGCAAAAGACGTGCAAATATGGAATGAAAAGCGTTAGCTCAAGGAACTAACCTCAGGGTTGAAGAGAAACCATTACATTGTAGACCCATCATCTCACTGGGGTGATGTCATGAAAAACTTTGCAAAACAGTGTTCTCATGATTTTAAATACTATCTTATTTTAAAATCACTGCACATCATTGTGCTGCCTGGTGAGAACTATGGAGCAAAACTCATCATAGAAAAGTATCATTCATGGATCCTAAACTGAGCAGGTTTCATACAACAATTTGAGTCTAATAGGTCTACTCAAGAGCTAAGGTGTGCCTATGGGACTGAGGCTTGAAATATTTGTGACATGCTCAGCACACGCTATTTGATGGATCAGTATTCTGGTTCAGGTCGGTAAAAAACAGACTCAAGGAGATACGTTACACCCTATACAATCAGGAAACATAAGTAATTGACAGACAGGGTGGTATGGATAATTTAAATATATGTATAATAGATCATGCACTTCATGCTCCAGCATCCACTCAAAAATTAAGAGCTCTCCAATTTACCCAAAACAGTAACTTTTTCAAAAAATACAGATTAAAATAAGCTGCCTAAATAAGCTCCGAATTCAACACTTTCACCCACCTCTGACAAAAGACTGTGAAAGCATCACAGGAAATTTATGCTTGCATGAATCAGAAGCAAAGCTATTCACTTCATAGAAAAATCAGCAAGACTTTTCTTTGTTGCTAATTCTTTAAACCCAATGCAGGGACTGGAAGGCAAGCTGAGATCGTTTTGGGTCATTTTGATGACAAAAATAGAGAACCTCAAAATTAATTTTATGCAATTTGCCTTGTATTTCACTGCCATTAGCAGCAAAGATACAAAGAGAGCAAAATCCAATTCTGCACTTGGCATTCCGTTAACGATGCTGGCATTCGATCACACAAAACATCAAGTCCTTCCATCTCACACTGATTTCCGCGGGACTTGAGGTTGCTCAGTGTTTCATATAATTGGGTCCCTGAGGCATGATCCAAAGAGTATCAAACTCACGTCTCCTCTTCACCCAAAGGGACACAATGGCTCCTACCACTAAACAAGGACAGGACTGAAGAAGCACTAACTGTAGATCTGCTCACTGAAGTGATACTTCTTTCTTCTTTAGAGAAAAACATTGCTTTAGAAACTTTCTGTAGCATCTGACTGGAGGATTTATTTTGCAAGACTTAACACGTCAAGAAGCAAGACCTCCACTTGTGCTATTTTTTGAGACTCCTAAATTTAATAATCTGGAGTAATGTGATCAGTGCCAAGCAGGCAGCTGTGACCAAATGCAACAGAGAGCAAAAAACATCGCTTCGACAGGCAATGCTATCCCTTGTAGCTTCTGAGCTCGCTTCCATTTTCCCATGGAGCCCTCCAACATCTCTAAGTCTTTTACTTTTTGCAGTGAGGCTAAGGTGTGAAAGATGTAATCACCTGCAGTTCTGGAAAGGAAAAATCCCACAAATTGATTTAGGCGGTGGGAGTGCATTGTTTCCCCATCCTACTAATATTTAAGTCATCTTAATCTCAAACAAAAAACACAAAAAAACCCCAAACAAACGGCTCCAAAAAGGAGTCACAAGTTAGAGAAGATAACATGAATGTGGGTGGAACAGCTCCCGAAAGTACTACTTGCACTCACATCCCTTGTCATTCAGCTGCTTTTGGAATTATTTTGAAAATGAAAATTAGAATGCAGGTGTCAGCAGCACTCTACAGACAGAGTGCACTCTTTTTCTCCACTCATTTCTCACTTAAAGTCACTTGTACTGGCTTTACCAATAAAGAGAGGCCAGCAAATTTACATTTGGCAATATTTTGTACTATAAAAGATATAATTTTAAAAAGTTAGGCAATATGTTTCTTTTCTGGTGTTTAGTCTGCATATCATTTTGTATACGCACATTTTCCCAGAACACCGAAGCAAGATTAGGCCTTATCACTGTATCCATATGTATGAACGTATATAACTACACAGAGCCCCACTAGAGAACTAAAAACTTGACTTTTTCCAGACATTTAAGTTTTAGAAAAGCTATTTGAAAATTAATGCAATAAAGTCCCTCTCTGTTTTTTTTTTCCCCCTCTCACAACAGCATCTGATCATCTTTCAAGTACTTCACAAGCAATTCTCTGAGCAGCAGCAGAACTTATCAAGCCTGGCTTCTCATGACTTTGTGTCTCATGGTTCGAGTAACTAGATGTGGTGACATGAGAGTCCCAACCGATGCTTTTCATGGGAATAGTATAATGCCTCCAACGGTGCCTCCCTCTGCTCTCTGCTGTCTAATAACACTGCTGAACTCATCTAGTGGCATTTCTGTGAGGACAATCAACTGGACGGCCCTGTTCTCCTTAAACTCAGATTTTCAGGAAGTTCTGCAGAAACGTTATATATTCAAAAATGTCTATCTACTAAACTCAGCTAGCACTGGCCAAGAGATTCAGAATGCGTGGCGGCCAGTCTGGGGAGGAGGCAGGAGGACGGCTGGAGCTGTGAGCAGTGCACCCATGTCAACTTGTATTTCTTTGGAGACAACGCTGAGCTGTAACATGCAACAAAGGCAGGTTAAGGCAGAGTTAATTAAGAGAGAAAGGAAGACAAATCATTTATCTCATACAGAAAGAAGTGCTTCCTTTTCAGAATTGAAAAGGACTAGAATAGTTAGGACTAGAATAGCCCAAACGAGTATGAACTTTACGCTTTCAAGTGCTAATTCAGGGCCAATTCACTTACACCCTGCTTCCAAACCCCGCGGTGAACTCGGCAACATGCCGCACCCCAAACCGGGCTGCTAGCAGGAGGAACAAGCCCCATCACCCGGAGCCCCGAGGACGCCGCCACCACCGCGACGTCTGCATCCAGCTCATCGCCCCGGGTCCTCCCCCAGGCAGCCCGGCGAACGCTGCCCAGTGTCTGTCGGCACC